TCTCTCTCTCTCTCTCTCTCTCTCTCTCTCTCTCTCTCTCTCTCTCTCTCTCTCTCTCTCTCTCTCTCTCTCTCCTCTCTCTCTCTCTCTCTCTCTCTCTCTCTCTCTCTCTCTCTCTCTCTCTCTCTCTCTCTCTCTCTCTATATATATATATATATATATTTTTAAATATATATATATATATATATATATATATATATATATATATATATGTATATATCGGTCTCTCTTTCTCTCTCTAGCTCTTTTTCTCTCTCCCTGTGTCTCTATCTATCTATCTATCAATCTATCTATCTATCTATCTATCTATCTATCTATCTATCTATCTATCTATCTATCTATCTATCTATCTATCTATCTATCGATCTATCTATCTATCTCGCTCTCCCGCTCTTTTACAAAAACCGTAAACAATATGTAATAAACAATAATGTGTAAGAAATAAAAACAAACTTCAAGAACAAAACAATAAATAATAAGCTTTGAATATAAACTGTAAACAATGGACTTAAACGATAAACAATAATCAATAAACAATTAATAATAAAGTATAAACTAAAAACAACATACAATATTCAAGAACCTATAAATAAACAAGAGAAGATAAGTAACAATAAACAATCAACATTGACACTAAACGATAATCAATGAACAATAAAGAACATTACGCATTGAACAGTAAAGAATTAACAATAAGCAATTCTCAAAAAAACAAAAACAACAAATACCAAACTGCAATTAAAAATAAGCAGAAAACAGTAAACAAAAAATAGACACAATAAACAATAAGCAGTAAACCGTAAACGTTAACCTACAAAATGTAAGCAATAAATAATAACAATAATGAACAATAAACGATAATCATTAAGCTGTCAGCAATAAACAATAAGCAGTAATCTATTTTTTAAATTAAAAAAACACCTATAAAAAATAAACAGTCAACGTGGGTGGTTGACGGGTGCACAGGTGTGTTTTCCTTCTTCTTTCCTACCAATCATCTGTCGTCCTGATCTCTCGTCATTCTTTTATTTGTACATTAGTCTCTAGCAACACCTCTAATCTTCGGCACCTATACAACATAATTCTTTAATAAGTATCGGGTAGAGATAACCATCAGCTCCATCGGGCGGTGGTTGGAGGCTGACAGACTACTGAGGGAGAAACGTCACTGAAGTTGTTTTTTTGTTTTTCATTTATTTTTTTTAGGGGGGGGGGGTTGCTGGAGGTAGAATCTATGCTCCGTGGAGTGGTTTCTTGTTGAAGCTCTAAGTGTTGATTCTCATTTATTTTTGAAAACGTTAATAATATTGCTGTTTCTGTTGTTGCTGTCATTGTTGTCACTGGCTTTTAGTTTTTGAGATAAACATCTTACTAAAACTAAATTAAACAGTAAACTCTAAACTGCACTCTAAATTCTTTATTGAAGCTCTAAGAATGTAAACGTTAATAATATTGTTGCTGCTGTTGTTGTTGTCACTGGCTTTTAGTTTTTGAGATAAACATCTTACTAAAACTAAATTAAACAGTAAACTCGAAACTACACTCTAAATTCTATATTGAAACTCCAAATGTTGAGTCTTATTCCTTTTTGGAAACATTAATATTATTGTTGCTGTTGTTGTTGTCATTGACCTTTAGTTTTTGTGACAAATATCTTACTAAAAACTAAACTAAACAGTAAACTACCCCAAACTGCACTTTAAATTCTGTTTCAGGTTGTAATGCCAGAGCCGCCCAAGTCCCCATCTCAGATGTGCCTAGATTACAAGTACAGCAAGTACATCAAGATGATGAGGGAGACAGAGTGGGGGCCGTCAGTGGGTGTTGGAAGTGAGTGTGTTTGAGGAGAGATGGTGGGAGTGGTAGAGGTCTTTTTCTTTTATTTGTACCTGTCTCTGTCTCTTTTTTTCTCCCTTTTTCCTCCCTTTTTTCTCTCCTTCTCTCTCTCTCCTTCTATCTCTCTCTCT